TATTTAAAGTTTAATACATGTAAATGAGAAAGGGGTGACAAACATTAAGAAATTAAATGGAACTTAGCTTAAGAATGGCTTCACGACCACATGAAAGAGGATGTCTGCTTTTTTCGTCAGACGATTGCAACTATCAAGACGCTCTACAAAGCAGAAATAGATAAGGCAAGTGGAATGAGCTTTATGTTATTGAAAATCTAATGGGAAAGCTGAGAAGACACCAGAGTTAACATTAGTGTAAATGATATATAGCTGAAAGGAAAAGTATTGGACTTTTGCCCATAACTTTCAGCAGGCTACACCTTCTAACTTCTTGTATCTTCACAACAACAATTGGACAGAAGAGAAAATTGTTGCAACTAAAGAATTTATTAATGAAAAATCATGAATCGATAAGTCGGCAGATCCAATAGAATTTGTGTGAATTTGAGTGAATGAGATTCATGGGTTGGAATGTGACAATACTGATGCTCTGTGGAAACGTCAGCCTGGATCGGTTGACTGAGGAACTCGGTGTGGGTGAATTTGTTGCTTATTATTACAAACAATATGCATTCATTCATCTTCATTATGCCTAATCATCTCCTTCTTTCCAAAGAGACCAAACATTATACGTTTTTTTAATGTTTGCGAGCTATTCATGATTAGGGTCTCCCCAGCCGAATTGATGCCAGCTCCAATTTATCGCAGGAGATTTCCGAGAAGTCAGGCTTGCTACATTTAAATAGTGATGTCAAGCCCCTTTTTAAAGAACAATTACCTTTCTAGGCTTCAGCAAATATACTAAATCAACTGAGAGAGTTCAAGAATTCATTTTCCTAAAGTATATATTGAAATATCATTTTCGCATTGGTTTCCAAAAATAAATAACATTAAACTCTCTAAAAATTCCCACGCGAAAGCTGATTACGTGCGCAAATATTTAGGTATCATTTATTAGGCCGAATGTATCCTCTTGATAAGGTCACCTTTCGTCTCTGCACGTGGCCTTAAAGGAATGTAACAAACTTTGGAAGTTACAAGATATGAATTAAACGTTCGCCTGTCAGCAGTGGCTTAAAATAAAAACACAAAGAGGGAAATTTAATTAGTTCAACGGGGCGCGGCTATATTTTTAGATCACCCAAATTTGCTACATGCAAGAAAGTAGATAATATATTATCCAACAAGCATTCGCACTCATCGATTAATCGATTAAAAATCTGAAAAGCAAATGGTTATTGCACTAAAAATCTCACCAACAAAATTGATTAACTCATGAAATCTAGTGAACAATTAAGTGATATTTAATCGAAGGTGCAGTTTGATGGTCTATCCAGGCCAAACGTTCTGCCCTTAATGGGAATTGCAGCCTTGCCTGTTTTTCTTCATCCCAAAGGTTCGTGCGCACAGTACAAACTATTAATAGAGTGTTACAACAAGAATTACGAGAATCCATGTTGCTACGTACGGCGTACTAGGAAAAAAGAATGTATGGCCCTGCGAAGAATAATTTGTGTTCGCATCCTGCACTAATCATTTTCAACAGAAATTAAAACCAATTGTTTGAATTCTGTTTTAGCACCTTATGGTCACATTTAATATCCTTAGCGTGCATGATTTATAATTGTTTTACAAAAGGGGAAATAACTTGGATGTTAAGTACGAAGGTATCATTAAGTGAAATGACCAAAGTTAAAATAATACATATCCAATTTTGGATGAAGAACAGTACTAGTAGAAAATTAATATTTTTAAAACTCTAGTTGCTCTTGTTGTCAAGCTTCGTCATTAAAATATTGGCAATATTTTCGTCATGTCAACGGTGTAACAATAGCAGTAGAAGCTATTGACAATCAATAAGTAACCAAAACTTTGCACAAATTTTAACTTGAAATTTAAGTACTAAAGCAGTGGGTTTTACGTTTTGGCTTAGTAATATAGCAAGTATAAGCTTTATTTCAATTAAATACCAACAGCACTTTTATTTCATTAGAATAAAAAATCCAAATAACAAAATATATTTACTACTTAAGCAATAGTTGTTTATTTATTTCAAATGGCTGGCGTTTGATAGTTATCATTAGTCCTTTAGCTGGCTTCGGGCTTCACAGAGAAGAGGAGGAACATCAAAATAAAAGAAAGTCGAGGGGTGAGGAACAGAAGAGTGATTCACAGATGTAAGAAAGACAAACAGACACAAAGATAGAGAAAAAGGTAAAATGAGTGCAGCGAAAGTGATCAAATATGACACGCAATGGGGTCATAGAAGTTTGAAGTCAGAAGTCAACTACCGATTTATAGACTTTTGCATTATGAGTATACGTTGCCCGGGGTGCACCACGTGGAGGTAAGTCTATCACGCTCCCCATTTAGACCAAATTATTTTACTAATGTGATTTATTTTATTTCAGCTTCGGTCTCCATTTTAAGAAAACAGTTAAGGTAATAATTTTCAAGCTCTGGTATATATGTA